CATCTCATCTCACTAATGCCTAGGATATCAATCTTTATGTGTTCCATTTCATTTTTGAAAACTTCCAATTTTCCTAGATTCATACTTTGTACATTCCATGTTCCGATTATTAATGGATGTTTGCAGCTATTTCTACTCAATTTGAGTTGTGCCATGTCAGCAAATGGAGGTCTCAAGCTTTACTTTATCCATATCAGTAAGGCTGGTCCTATTCTGATGATGAAGCTCTTTCCCAGTCACATTTTGAGAGCCTTATGACCTAAGGGGAGCCCTGGTAGCATAGTGCCTAAGGCATTTGACTGCTAACCAGAAGGCTGGTGGTTCAAACGCACCGGCTGCTCCTCAGAAGGAAGATTGGGCAATCTACTTCCATAGTGATACTGCCTCGGAAACTATGAGTCAGATCCGACTTGATGGCAGTGAGTTTGGTTTTGGTTTTTCTGACCTAAGGGGCTCATCTTTCTGAACTGTATCGGACAGTGTCTCCGGGCTATTCATGAAGTTGCAAGATAATGTATCGACAGTGTTTCTCTGCTATTCATAAGGTTTTCCCTGGCCAATTCTTTGAGAAGTGGATGGCCTCTTCTTTCTTCCTAGTCTGTCTCAGTCTGTAAGCTGCATTGAAATCTGTATACCACATGAAACCCTGCTGGCATTTGAAACACTGATGCCACAGCCTCAAGCCTCACAGCAACACACAAGCCACCATAATACGTCAAACTGACAGACAAGTTTGCCTCCCTTAGCTGTTCGAAACCTTTCTGCCCTCCCCTTACCTGGATCCCTGCCGCTGCTCGGTCTGCATATTAGGTCATTAATTTTCAGATTTTCCAATAAAATTATTTAAAAATAATTAGTTTCCTTTAGCTACTATTTCAGCTTTAAAATGTGATATGAATTATATTATTCAGTTCTAAGTATTTTACAAAACAATTTCCATATGCCACTATAATTTCTTCTTTGAGTTCTCTAGAAATTATTCTTTTAATCAGAGTTAAAACATTATCATTTTCTTCTTTGTGATTTCTTTTGGTGTACTTTGTTGTTCTTTTTCTAGTTTTTTGAGCTGGTAATTTAATTGATTTATCCTCATTCTTTCATTTTTATTGATACAGCTGTTTAGGACTACACATTTTCCTGTGATCACTGGTTTAACTGTCCTATTGATTCTGCTATGTGATAGTATTATTATTACTTTTATCAGAAATTCTGTAACTTCTATTTGTATTTTCCTTTTTACCCAACAATTTGTGTAATAGAAGGACTCTTAATTTCAAGTAAAAGTGTTTTTATGTTTATGTTTATCTTAGTTTTTAAAAAACTTTTTATTGTGGTTTGGGAGAAAGTTTACAGAGCAAATCAGTTTTCTATTCAACAATCAAATATTTTGTTTTGTACTATTGACTGTAATTCCCTCTGCGCAACATCACTCTTGCCACCTTCTCCCTGTGTTTCTCGTTTTCATTCCTCATTCTCTCCTAACCTTACCTGCCTTCTGAACTTTGCCTTTGGGCACATGCTGCCCTTTTGATCTGAAATGGTTGATTGTTGCTAAAGAGTGTCTTGTTCATCTTGTAGACCTGCCTATTGTTTAACTGAAAATTGTGCTATGGGAGTGAGTTCAGGTCCAGGTCTGAAGGGCGACTAAGGGCCATAGTCTCAAGGTACTGGATATCCATTTGCAGAAAAAGTGAAACAGGACCCATATCTCACACCATGTAAAAACAATGAACTGAAGTTGGATCAAAGACCTGAAGGTAAAACCTAAAACTATAAAGACCATCAAAGAAAAAGTAGGGACAAACTTAGGAGCCTTATTCAGGACATAAATACATGATTAAACATAAATAAAACACAACAAACACTAGAAGACAAAATAGAGAACTAGAACCGCCTAAAAATTAGACATTTATGCATATTAGAAGATTTCACCAAAAGAGTAAAAACAGAACCCACAGACTGGGAAAAAATGTTTGACAACTGCACACTCCTTGGAAGGAAGATAGGGCAAGCTACTTCAGTAGTGATACTGCCTCGGAATCCCAAGGTGGGGTTGCTTTGAGTCAGATCCAACTGGACGGCAGTGAGTTTATATTGAACAAGGGACTAATCTCTAAAATTTATAGTAAACTTCAAATCCTCAACAACAAAAAGAAAAAATAATCCAATTAAAAAATGGGTAGAGGACATGAACAGACACTTCATCAAAGAAGACATTCAGGCAGCCAACAAACACATGAAGAAATTCTTGTGATCATTACTCATTAGATAAATGCAAACCAAAGCCATGAGATATCATCTCACTCCAGCACTAATAACTCAACAAACTCACTGCCATCAAGTCGTATCTGACTCATAGTGACCCTTCCTTGGGTTTCTGAAGCAGTATCACTACAGAAATAGATTGCCTGACCTTCCTTCTGAGGAGTGGCTGGTGGGTTTGAACTGCCAGCTTTCTGGTTAGCAGTCAAATGCCTTAGGCACTATGCCACCAGAGCTCCCACTAATAGCAAAGTTCAATAAAACAGAAAACAACAAATGCTGGTGAGGGACTGAAATCTTCATACACTGCTAGTGGGACTGTAAAATGGTGCAACCACTGTGGAAAATGGTGCTTCCTTGAAAAACTAGAAAAAAGAAATACCATATAATCCAGCAATCCCACTACTAGGTATATATCCTAGAGAAACAAGAGCTATGACACAAACAGATATATTCACACCCATGCTCATCACAGCACTGTTCACAATACCAAAGGATGGAAGCAACCTAAATACCTATCAACTGATGAATGTATATACAAACTATGGTATGTACATACAATGGAATACTATGTAATATTAAAGAACAGCAATCAATCTGTGAAACATCTCATAACATAGATAACCTAGAGCAATTAGTCAATCACAAAAGGATAAATACTGTATGAGACCACTACTATAAAAACTCAAGGGAAGGTTTTCACACAAAAAGAAATGTTCTTTGATGGTTACTAGGGGTGGGAGTAAACCATTAACTAGAGGTTAGACACATATTAACTTGGGTGAAGGGGAAGGATTTTCATGTTTATTTTTAATTTCTAGTTTTATTAAATTGTGATCAGAGAGATATTAAGTTTAGACTTTAAATCAAGTATGCTATTTAAAAAATGACATAGAATAAGACAAAGAATAAAAATAGAATGTATGACTTCTAAATCAGTGAAGCTGAAAAAGCATGAAATAAAGGAAACTTAATAGATTTAATAAGAAGGAAAGGAGAGTGAAACTAAACAAATAAAAAACATGATGAGTAGAAATTTTATAAAAATCACCACAACATAAAAAAAAATCAATAAAAATAAAAATATGTGTCACACGGCATTCTCCAATTCAACATTTTTCAGGTCTATTACTTAGTAGTATCAGTTATATTAACCTACCGTGCAACCATACTCTTAATCTATGCCCTATTTCCCATCACCATTAACAGAAACTCACTGCTTCTCTAACAATGGCACCCTTTCTTCCCCTTACTCCCATCCCTCGTATCTACTAATAACACTTTGGTCTCTAAATATTTGCCTGTTTTGTCAATTATCTAAGTGAGATCATGTAATATTATTTGTCCTTTTGTGATTGACTTATTTCATTCAATGTAATATCTTCAAGGTTTATCCATGTTGTAGCATTTATAAGTACTTATTTGCTCTGGCTGAGTAATACTCATTCCATTGTGTGTACATACCACATTTTATTTATCTGTTAATAGGCATTTAGATTGTTTCCACCTACTATTTTATTTTTACCCTGTTTTCAAATCCCCAATATTTTTTTTCCCAATAATAAAAAAGAAAAAACCAAACTCACTGCTGTCAAGAAGATTTGACTCAGAGTAAACCCTCCTTGGGTTTCTGAGGTGGTATCTCTACAAAAGTAGATTGCCCAATCTTCCTTCTGAGGAGTGGCTACTGGGTTTGAACCCCCAGCCTTCTGGTTAGCACTCAAATGCCTGAGGCACTATACCATCAGAGCTCCCTTTTTCCCAAACAGTCTTTTAAAATAAATACAATCAATACCTTTTCAATATTTTCTAATTTATTTTTTCATTGCTTTAAAATATATTTTTACTTATTTATCTTTCATTGTTTCCTGCATCTCACTTCTTCTTTGTGAGTTTATTTTCCTTCTTCTTCAAGTGGATCCTTTAGTGGTTCCTTCAGTGAGGTCTAGGAGTGATAAACTCAGTCTTTGTTTGAAAATATCTTTATTTCACTATCACTTTTGTATGATAATATAGCTATGAATGTAATTCTAAGTTACATCAACTCTGTGCAAATATTTCTTCAGGCCTCAAATGTTACTGTGGAGACTAAATTTTTTCTTTGTTGGAAGCTGATCTTTCTTCTTTTGTTGAAATTTAAGACTGTCTTGTTTGTACTTTAGTTTTTCACCTTGATGTGTGTAAGTGGATTCCTTTATCTTTATCCTGCTCAGAATTGACTGTGTGCTTCATCAGTTTGAGAATTCATGCCTTTTTATCAATTCTGAGAAATTCTCTGTATTCGCTTCTTCTGGAATTCCTGTTACACCCACGTGCACCATATATATATGTATCACAGAAAGAAATGTATGGTTATGTAAGGGAAAAATTCTCTCAGAGCAGAGGGGCTGTAAGACCCAAACAGTACATAGCTGAAAAGAAATACAAAAAATATGAGGAGATCTCACTCCTACATGTACACATTAATATACAGAATGCTTCTTCATTCAGAGAAGGGACAGTGTTAAACTGAATAGGCATGGATAGCAAAGACCAAGCATTTACTAATTACAGATGCCAGGAATCTAAAATGGAGATAGATCATTCTCAGTATTTCCAGGGCGGCTTTATTCTTTTGAACAATCAGCATTGAGGAACACAAGGAAAGTAATATTGGAAAGGAGTGGGTGGATGGGTGGGGGACTGTGGGAGACAGTGATGAATATATTGTTGTTGTTGTTATATTAGTGGGTATTAACTCAAGCATGAACGAATTAATATTGGCACCATTAAAACCCACCTCACTGCCATTGAGTCAATTCTGACTCATAGTGGTGACCCTATAGGACAGAATAGAACTGCCCCATAGGGTTTCAAAGGCTGTAAATCTTTCTGAAAGCTGACTGCCTCATTTTCTCCCATGGAGCAGCTGGTAGGTTCGAACTGCCTACTTTTTGATTAGTATCCGAATGCTTTAGCCACTGCTCCACCACAGCTCCTGAGCACCGCTAAAGCACTGCGTAAAGGCAGTGGCTTTGGAAATTGCATAAATTAACAACAACTATTTAACTATTTAGTATTATCCAGATAAGGAGCCCTGGTGGCTCAGTGGTTAAGTGCTCGGCTGCTAACTGAAAGGTCAGTGGTCCTAACCCACCAGCTGCTCCTCAGGAGAAAGCCGGCAGTCTTCTGTAAATATTTCAGCCTTGGAAATCATATTGGGCAGTTCTACTTTATAGGGTACATGCCTATAGGGTTGCTATGAGCTGGAATTGACTGGATGGCAATGCGTTTTATTATCCAGGTAGAATTGCAAGCATTTTACATTGATTACCCATCATAAACACTCAACAAATTAAGTCTTAAAAACACATTTTAGAGATGATGAATTAAGTAGCTTGTTAATAAATGGTAGGCCAGAGTTTTGAACCTAGGCAGCCTAGTGTAGAGGTTGTGCTTTTTAACATTTGTAGTTGTTGGGTTATGTGTCCTTTCCTTAGGTGAGTGTTCTGGTTACCTAGTGCCACTCTGACAAGAATATACCACAAATGGTATGGCTTTAACAAACAGGAGTTTATTCTTACAGTGTACAGTTACACTGGAGCTAGAGGCATTTCTTCACACAGATAGCTGCTGGCTGCTGAGGCTGAGAAGCCCAAGGCTTACAAGTAAAAAGGCACAGTCCCAATGTTACCAAACCACATGGCAGGCCATTAACTCAAGTTCATTGAAAGCCCCAAGGTCAGCAGAGCATGGCAGGCTGCTGAACAACGACATGGCTATGTGCAGGGTCCAAGTGTGATATAAACTAGAGACCATTCCCAAAGCTGCTGCTTATACACGGGAAGCAGACCACATACCCAAAGGCAGCTACTCAGCTGCTCACAGTAGATTCCACCATGGAGTTGATTACCAGTCTCATCATGGGGAATAACTACCACCAGCTGCCTAGCCCCTCAACCATGCCCAGCCAAGTTGACACACAAACATAACCACCACAGTGAGGAATTGATTAGGGAATTTCCTCCAGCATGCTTTGGATGGACCTCAGTACTGAAGATCAAACCCTCTCAATTATTCAGTCCGCTTGGGTAGGATGGAAGGAATAGGTCATAGGGAGCTGGATGCTGGTTTGCCTTTTGTTACAGTCTCCCAGCCCTTTATGTGACCCAGACAGATTCCTTGCAGGCATAGTAGTCTGTGATCATGCAACAGCTGACTCCCATTCTGATGGAAACATGTAGGAACCAGACTGTCAACAATTAGACATGAAGGGCTGAGCCTGGAAAACTGTCCTGCTTCTTCACAGGCCACACATGCCAGATGTGGTTAGAGTCATAGCCTTTAGTCCATTCTGACTGATAGCTAGCCTAAGTGAGTGCTTTCAACCCCTCAACCAACCAACCAACTAGCCATCCACCCTTCCCACCTCCCTATTTACTGTGTGCCCACCATGCCTAAAGTCATGATCTCAGCCATTCATTGACTGCCAGTCTAGTAGAGACATTACAGTGGCACAAGACCTGAGTCTAGACAAGATGTTACAGAGTCATAGGACATGAGGCTGTAAAGGCCATCTATTCTAGCCCACTCCATACTTTAACTGCTCTACAACAGTCTAGACATGTCTTTGTCCATTCTCTGCTCTAGACAAAAAAAAAAAAAAAGAGCTTTAAAGAAAAACTCAAGACCATTACAGAAGAGAAGCCACGATGGAGTCCATGATTACTTAGCATTTCACAGCCAATAAGTTATTCTAAGATTATAAGGAGGGAAATAGTTCCAGGCCATGCTGGTTAGGGCAGTTTTCCCTGGGAAAGGCAGATTTCCCGCCCCCCCCCATTGTTTTAGGTGCTAATTTACAGAGCAAGATTTGTTTTACATTTAACATTTCATGTACATTTGGTTTCTCTCCCGTTACCATCCCTAACGCTAACCTACTCTCCTCCTCTCCCTTCCCAGTAACCGTCCTCCTCCTGTGCCCTTCTCAGTTATGCACTTGTCTGTTCAGCTTTTCCTTTGTGTGAATGTTGCCCCTCTGGTGCTCCATGGCCGATTGCTCCAAGGGATCTATCTCCGTAAAGTAGGTGGGTGCATCGCCCTGGGTTGAGTATTCTGCATGTATGTCTTGTTTACTGTTACGCTGAGAGCCAGCCTTGGGAGTGAGTTTTATCCCAGGCCCGAAGTGTATCCCAGGGGGTCCCATCAGACTCCATCCAACCAGTAATTCTGGTCATTATTGTGTTTTTGGATTTTGTTCCACATTTTTCCTCCTAATTTCCTCCCGTATCCTCTCAGTTTTAACTCAATATTTCCATGGTCTCTGTTGCTAACAGTATCAAGTCCCAAATAAAGTGTTGTGTGGATCAGTAGTTTTTAAAGAGATTTAAACTAAGAACTCTTTAATAAAATATTAAGGAGAACCCCAATGCAGAAAGCAACAGAAAACAGTAAAGTATTTCTTTCCCTAGTTTAAATCTTTCATGGCTGGTGGGAACTATTTTGTTTCTAGCACACCTGCTGCACCTCTGTAGAGTCCTAGTGTTCAGGGAGCTTGGTTTAAAAACTCAGGATTAGATGGCTAACACCCTTTCCACTCTTAAGCTCATGCCTAGGGTTTGAGGCTTGGTCCATTCCCGCTCAGCCTCATTTTGAAACAAAAAACACCCACCTCTAGTCAGGCCAATCTTCCACAATCTTCTGCATACTTCTTGCCTTTCTTGTGTTTTTACTTTTCTCATGAGGTATTTTCTAACTGGAATGCCATTTTTTTCGCTCCTGTATTTCAAATTCTTCCCTAAATTTGTACAATTCCATGTCTTCCACAAAGCTTTCTCCAACTATGTACACTTCCTTGATTGCTCTTTTTTTCTGAATTCCCATTGAACTGAAAGTCAACACCAAACAGTTGAGTACTTAACTCATCTCTAATTATTTCCTATCCAAAACTTTTGTCTTCTCAGAATGCCTGGTGACATTCTTGAGGACACAGCCCATGCCTTCTATATCTTTTGGTGCTCATACAGTGCCTAATAGTGTTGGGCATGTAGTCATTATTCAAACTTCTCTAAATAAGTGATTAGATGAATTATTTGTGCAGCTCTTCGCTTTCTTGGGGAGCTTCTGTGAAAAGTTTTCACACCTTAGTGGTGGGAATAAAGCTCAGTTGCAAGAGTGCTGGATGCTGTACCTACTGTTCTTGTTTCTTTGCCAGCAGAATTCATCCCTTGGAGGAAAAATTTTCCATTTGAAGTTTGAAAAGTCAAATCCCCCAAAAAAGACATATTTGCTGGGAGGGTGATGTGCATTTCTGTATTTTCACAGAAAACTTTTTAGAAGAAATTTCCCAAACAAGGAAGTCATAACTCTGTTTATCTAACTAATGCATGCACCATCTTCCTTTTCTAAGCTCATTAACCAGTTGCTGACTCATGGTAACTCCTTGTGTGTCAGAGTAGAACTGTGCTCCACAGAATTTTCAAAGGGTGAGATTTTGGAAGTAGTTCACCAGGTTTTTCATCTGAGGCACCTCTGATAAACTTGAAACTCTAAACTTTGGGTTAGTAGCCCAGCACATTTACCATTTGCACTGCCCAGAGACTCCTGTAAACTCATTAGCAGTCATAAATTCTTGGCTTGAGGTCAGGGAACCAGACCTGAGCATGAACTTTCTTGTGGGGAAAGGCAGGCCTGATTCTGCCACATGATGTGTCTTCTCAGCCAGGATGCTAAATGTATGAGTCCTTTTCATCACATGTGGAAATGCAATTATGCCAGGCATGAAAGAAGCTCAAGTTCTTCATGGCAAAGCAGATTCCAGCAGAAGCTTTGTATACAGTTCTGCTTGGGAGGTTTCCAGACTAGAAGAAAGAAGCTCAGAGCAGCAGAAGGTGTATTGTCAAGATGGACGGCCTGCGCAAGGTGTGTTCTGAAAATGTACTGGATCTTCCTCATGTAAGTCCTGATGGTAAGACCCATGGAAAGTCCACATGTGTTTGGCCCTTAAACCCTGATCCTATGTTCCCTTCTCACACTAAAAATGGAGGGAGCTGAGGTTAGTGCTGCTCAAAAGTTGCCCCTTCTGGGGTTGTGATTTTTCAGTTTTCTAAGCTTCAATCTATGCACTGCTTTATCAGAATCATCAGGAAAGCTTTTAAAATTGCAAATTCCAGGTATCAACTGGTCTACTGTGGCTTAGGAGCCTGGAATCTGTATTCTTGATAAGTCTCCCTGGTGATTCAGATGGAGTCAGGGTTGGGACCCATAGGTCTGTATTTGCATGCCTACTTTTATTTGACCCACTAGTTTGTCCCAGAATGGGTTGAGGAAAGGAATGGAGTGTAGCCAAGAAAGCATACTCTTGAATGTTTTTGTAACTCAGAAGAAGCAATTGCAGTTTCATGTGGACTGAAATAGAGAGACTTGATTTAAGTCTTGAAATATCCTCAATGTCTAGAGAAGAAAAATCTTCAACCTTCAGGCTCCTTTGGTCTCTGAGTTGCTGTTGAGCTCTTGGAGGTGTTCAGATGCCAGCTCCTGGTCCCACTGAATGGCAGGGGAAGAACCAGGATGAAGAATGGAATGACTAGTCTTTGCCACAGGAACTTCAGAATGGCTCCCAGAACATGAGTCTTTGCCTCAGTTTCAAGGAGGACAAACCCAGTTATCTATTGGTGTGGTTCACAGGCTTAAATGGAGATTCCTTCTGCCTTGCTGGCCTTCCATGTGGCCAGCTGCAGGAAAGTAACTAAAACATAGTGAGTTTTTTTCAGGTCCCAAAATCTTAACATACTCCCTGAAAAGTGGGTAAGGACAAGAAGGTGGAGCATTTTATTAGCAGGATGTTTGGAAAGAGACAGGATGCTGAAGGCAGGGTCAATGTTTCCGAAGGTTCTTAAAATACATTGCCTAGGTTTCAGGGCTCTGACTCACCCCCAGGCCCTGGCATTCCATCCTGGGCCTTCTATATTCCCAAGGGTGCCTGGGAGACCAGCTCATTCCCCACCTACAGTCTCCACAAGAAACATCTGCTTTAGGTTATTTGTAAGTCAAAGCAATGAACTGTCAATACATCATCTTTTCCACTCAGGGATACATTCCTCTTGGCTGATGCATGCCCTTCCCTGAGGGTTCACCTCTGGACTGCTTATGTGCCTGTGAAGCTGTGAATGGATTTTGATGATAATTTGAAGAGCTTCTTACATCCCCATTTACTTAACCTTCTCACATGAACAGCAAGGCTTCTCTGTGGGGAATCATGGAATGACTACTGACTCATTAGATAAGCAGTGAGCCTTGGAAACAGGAAGCAACAAAATGGCTCTCAATGCCAATGTCATTCCTTTATCTTTTCATCCACAGGTAACTCAGCACTGTAGGAAGCAGTCTGGACTCAAAATCAGCAGGCCCAGGTTGGAATCACAATCCGGACAGATACTATCTGGGACAGATCTCTTTAACTTCTCAGGGTCTCAGTTTCCTCTTCCATAAAATGTGAATAATAATACCTACCCTGCCAATCACATAAGGGTCTTATGAGGTCAGGATAGAATATCAGGATAGGAAGGCATCTGATGCTTGAATTCCTTCTTATAAAACACTACCAGTAAGCCTTGCAACTTATTCTTGAACAACTTCTAGCACAGGGAACTCACTCTCACAGAGAGTCCACTGCACGGTGGGATAGCTCTGATTTATTTTGAGCTGAAACTGACCCCTTTGGCATTCCACCAATTGGTTCTCCATGTGGATACACACAAACAAGTCCAATCCTCTTCTGGAAGAAAGGCTTTCAGATATCTAGAGGTAGCGTTGTGTCCCTGGTACTGACAGGGCAGTCTCTGGTTCTGTTCTCTAGTAGGCTAAACCTTTGGCTTCCTTTACAACCATGGTGACTGTTCTCCAATCGTGAGGGTGGCGTAGGAAGTGTTTTGTTCTGTAGTACAGAGGATCGCTGTAAATTGGAGCCAACTCAACGGCACCCAACAACAACAACAGCAACAACAAAGTGCTTGAGGTAACTGATGACCCTGAAAATATCTTGTCCAGAACCAAATGTAGCATTGAGGATGGTTGGAAGTAGAGAGAATGAAGTGTGGCAGACCTTTCTTATTTTAGATGCTATACTTCTATCAATGCAGCTGATCCTTGAATCAACTTCTTTGGTGGTTATATCCCAACAGCTGCACTTTGTGCACAATCTCAGCTTCAAACACTTCACTCTCTGATCACCACCTCCTTTCTTTCCAACTCCTTCCATCTAGTACCCAACTCAACAATGCTTAGACCTGACCTGTCTTTTACCCCCTCCTTTACCAAGGAAGGTTGGGCAATCTACTTCAGTAGTGATACTGCCTCAGCAACCCAAGGAGGGGTTTCTATGAGTCGGGTCCGACTCGATGGCACGTAACAACAACAACTACCATTTCCTAGAAGCTGTGGTAGCATAGTGCCTAAGGCACTTGACTGCTAACCAGAAGGCTGGTGGTTCAAACCCACTAGCCACTCCTTGGAAGGAAGGTTGGGCAATCTACTTCCATAGTGATACTGCCTCAGAAACTCAAGGAGGGGAAGCTATGAGTTGTGTCCGACTCAACGGCACGTAACAACAACAACAACTACCATGTCCTCATTTCCCTTCTTACCCAGAATAGACTTCATGACACATCATTGTAATCACTCCCTGGAATATGATCTTTTTTCTTCCTTTGTGGTCCTCTCCTGGCAAAATTCCAAATCTGATTAAATCTTCTGTACCTTTTCTTGCCTTGTATCCAGACATTTGAACCTCATTATAGAAAAATTCAGAAATAGGTTAACTGATTTAATTTTAATTTATAATCAGTATCTTCAAGTGGGCCCTAGAGCTGCCTCAAAATCATATTCTAGTCCCCTAATCTAGTGGTTCTCCCACTGTCTTAGGTAGCGAGATCATTCCTCTTCTATCCCTGAACCTCCATCATTCCTTCCCCATCTTCACTCTCAGCTGATGACTCGGCTTCAATCAGAAGGGAACTCCCACATATTCCAACCACCACACCTACTCACTTGCCTGCATCTTTGTCCAGTATTCTGCCTTCTCTGTCACTGTGGATACCTTTCTGTGCTCTCCAGGTGCGCACTAGATCCTTGCCCCTCTTGCTTACTCCGTCATTAATTTTCCCTTTTCTACAGGAGTATTACCCTCAGTATAAAGTACAATATTATTCTCTCTTCTTAAACAAAAATAAAAACACAAGAACAACAAAACCCTCTTTTCTAATTCCCCGATAGGGAAACCAAGACTCAAGATTAAGTTCAACAACTTGCCCAAGGTCAAATGGTGGAAATAGTGGAGTCAGGAGTCAAACCTAATCTGCCCACTCCCAGAGCCAACCCAAATTAGACTTTATGTTCTGCTGTGACCAGAGAAGCTCTCTGTCCAGCCCACATCTCTGGTTCAAGTGGCTGGCCTCTGGCAAGGGAGTACTTTGCCAAGGAAGGGCAGGGCAGCTCTGCCACGTCCTGCAGGAGCACTCTTGTGACAGCAAGACTGGCTGGAGGTTTTCAAGTGAGAAGGGAAACTATTTGGGCTATAGAGGTCGATAGAGCTGCTGAAACTCATAGACTGGCTTGAAGCCCAGCAGCATACCGGCCACAGCAGGGTGAAGCGTGGCCATAATGATGGGCAGATGAGGCAGGCAAGAAGGGCAGAAGCTGCCAATTTCACGTACTACAGTGAAGAGATGACACCTCATAGATTCTGTAGGCCCAGAGCCTGTGTGGCCTGCTATGGTGGCTCATTAACACTGGTTAATCCTCACTTAGAGGTAACAATTGATGACTAATGTGGCAAGCTGCCTTCCAAAGCCATTTGTCAGAAAAGCACACTTCTTTCCTCCAGCATCCACCATCATCCCTATTCATGCTGAGAACCCAGAACCCAGATTACAGAGCCATCAGCTGCCCCCCACCCTACACACACGTGTCCGTGTGCATGCATGTACACACACACACACACACACACACTCCCAAAGATTCTCCCAGCGAAGGGGCCCATTTGGCTTTGAGTTTTCCAAGTACATGGGGTCAAGTCTGAATTTTCAGACCACCCTGAAAAGCATGTATCTACTGCCTCTTGTTTGTGTATCTGTCAAAACAAATGTTGACTTTAGTCATGTTATCTCTTAATAGTCCTCTTTCAGAAGGAACAGACTGACTCACTTACTTGTCTGTTACGGCCGTCATGAACTCGTCCAGCAGGTCGTCATACTCTTTACCACGCACACGCTGGTGTTTCAGGCCAATGTACAGAGGGTCTCTAAGCAGTTCCTGGAACAGACAACATCCATTTACTGAGTCTGCTCCCCAGTGTTCCTTGCTTTTTTCCACCTTTAGCATCTTCCAGCATGGTTTCCTCAAGTGTCCTGTTTTTTTTTGGGGGGTGGGGAGGAGGCCTAGAGGATGGGATGGGAAGAGTGATTAGGAAGCTGGCTGGAGCCCTAGGGGTCATGTCTGGAAGGATATGGAGTCTAAGCCACTTATCTAAGTCTGGATTCCCACATGGGCCACCCATGTAGGAACCAACTATGTTTTGAACCAGGCATGCCTCTCTCCAACACAGCCTTCTACTTCCCCTGGCTGGGTTTATTTCAGCCTTTCTCAACAGCACCTATTGATATTTTGACCCAGATGAGTCTGATGTGGGGGGACTGTTCTATGCAAATTAGGAGTTTAGCCTCATCATGGCCTCTACTCACTAGATGCCTTATCACCTCTCCCCACAGCTGTGGCAATAAAAATTGTCTCTGGTCATTGTGAAATGTCCCTTGGGAGTAAAACTGTTTCCAGTTATGAAGCGCTATATCAGTCTTTAGGTAACATCTGGATTGAAGTATTGGGTCCCAAGATGTAAATCTGGATTCAAATTAGAAAACATTACATTCATTAAAATCATAATGAATACCTACCACATGCCTGGCACTGTGATAGGCCCTTGGGATACAAAGATAGAATGATGATATAACCAGAAATTTCAGTTCAAGAAAGATGCTCACCCTAATGCCTAAACTGTTAGGAGACCCCCTACCCCACCCCTTGCAACTTTCTGTCACAGCATTCACGTGCTGTTTGGTCATGTTGTGTGTCTGCATTGGTTCGAATGACCACTCCCACTGGCAGACTTCCTACCTCTTTCAATCCATCCCTCCACATACTCCTACACAGCTTCACTGGACTAGACATGTGACACATTTACTGACCATGTACTAGTGCTGATACTGGGCCCAGTAAGGGATGTGTACATGAGAAAAAAAGCAGTTGTTGCTTTCAAGGTGGTCACAGTCTATTTGGGCTGGCAGATGAATAGACAGCTAACTCTAGTACGGGGTAGAGTGACATTGCTCTGGAGAAAAAAATGTGTGGAACAAAGAAGCACAGAGAAGGGTGGAGCTATTTCCACTGAGAGCTGGTGGAGATTGTATGATGGAAAATATGGTTAGCCAATAAAGGTGAGCAGAATTTGATAGATGCAGAAGGTGGGCTGGGCACATGAGTCTGAGGAGTCAGCACAAAGAAAGGTTGTGGGCTTGAGGCAGAAGGAGGAAAAAGTACATACTATAAATAGTGCCTAAGTCATTTAACTGCTAACCAGAAGGCTAGAAGTTCAAACCCACCAGCCACTCCTCAGAAGGAAGATTGGGCAATCTACTTTCATAGTGATACCACCTTGGAAATCCAAGGAGGGGTCTCCATGAGTCGGATCTGATCGATGGCAGTGAGTTTGCTTTTGGGTTATGTTTTTGAGATGGAGTAATTCCATGTGCTAGGGTCTCAGGAAATGATCTCTTTTTGCATCTAACTCACCATTAAAATATGTGCTCCTTGAGGATAAGGTCTTGTGTTATCTTCATCTCCATCTGAGCTGCTACTGCAGCACAAAGGTAAGGGAGCCATAGGCTCTGCCCTCAAGGGGCTTAGAGTCAAGTAACACTCCCACCATTGAACTAGTTGTGTGACCTATTCCTCATCTGTCAAATGAGGATATATCAGCTGCATAGGGTGAGTGCAATGATTGAATGAAGTATTTTATGGGTAAAACCTTCATGAATTATAACACATGCTATAAAATCGTGGTAGCAGCTTTCATGTTTCTAGGGCTTTATTTGTGCCAAGTACTTCTAAATGCTTTACTCAAAACCTATGAAGTTTCAGTAGCCATGGATGTGAGAATTTCCTTAAGGGAACCTACTGAGGGAAGTATATCTCGTGAACAGTCATCAGATGCCACCTTCATGGGTTGCTCCCAGCCAATGACTGAGCATGGGAAGAGTGCTGGGGCAGGTAGTTCCTGCCTAACTGAGACTCTTCTCAGGCCATCTTTGCTTGGACACTTCATATTAGCTTGGCAGACATTCCCAGGGGCCGATTTTCACTCAGAACCCTTCCTATTCAATCATCCCTCCTCCTACTCTCCTTGCACACGCGTCAGAACTGCATTATGGTCTGAAAGACCCACCTACCCCGACTACTCCTGCTTCCTCTCCTTTATAATTTATAGGTGTTTCCTCTAATAAATCTCTGCTTCTCAGAGGATCTGAGCTGAGGCATACCCTATTATTTTCCTCCATTTCACAAGGGAGCAACAGGACACAGAGAAGTTTAGCAACCCATCCTAGACCATGTGCTAGTGAGTGGGAGAGCCAGCATTCAAATTTAGCTGCTTGCCTCTAGAGCCCATGATCCTAACCACTATGGCTTTCTGTTTAGATGGGTCTTTTCCACAATAAGAATTGACTTACTATTTTTAAAGACTTAACTGTGAATCCATTCTGCCTTGATAGCACTGTAGGAGGTGCTTGAGAGGAGACAGGAAAGAACAGGAAGTATCAGCCTTCCCAAGCCCCTCTCCCCCAACAACTTCAAACCAAAACCAAACTCACTGTTGTCGAGTTGGGTCTGACTCACAGCGACCCCTCCTTGGGTTTCCGAGGCAGTATCACTACGGAAGTAGATTGCCCCATCTTCCTTCCAAGGAGTGGCTGGTGGGTTTGAACCGCCAGCCTTCTGGTTAGCAGTCAAATGCCTTAGGCACTATGCTACCCAACAACTTGGGTCCACATAATGTCAGAGGTGGGTTCAGGGCTTCGTTCAAGGTATTACATGGCAAGATTTAGAAAGAAGGTGGGCCCTAATTTCCTTTCTCATTCTTTTCACCCCCTAGATTGTATGCCCTTGAAATAGCTTGGGATTTTTTGGTTGTGTATGTGTATATATAGGGTGTGTATGTGTATATGGGAGAGGATTAAAGGATAAGAATGCCTGCCCTTCCACATACCATCTTCAAAGTGACCATCTGAAAGCTAGTTGGAGGCAACAAACATCCAGCCACGGGGGGGGATGATAAAGTCAATGATAACCTGATGGACATTGTTGTTGTTATTTGCCTTCGAGTCGGACCCAACTCATAGCGACCCTTCCTTGGGTTTCCGAGGCAGTATCACTATGGAAGTAGATTGCCCCATCTTCCTTTCAAGAAGTGGCTGGTGGGTTTGAACCGCCAGCATTCTGGTTAGCAGTCAAGTGCCTTAGGCACTACATTACCAGAGTTCCTTGATGGATATTAGGCAATCATTAAAATTGATGGCTTTTGAGAGTATGCAGCCACTTGGACAAATGTGTATGAGATTATTTTAGGTGAAACAAGCAAGATATGAAATTGCACAGATATCATGATTATAGCTATCTGAAACACACACACACACACACACACACACACACTTTGAAAGGGCAAACACAAAAGTGATAAAAAAAAAAAAAACAGTATAGCCCATGGCATTTGCTGAAAATACTCATTTTTTCATTTTTCTTTAAAAATCAACTTTATCTATTTTTGTTGTTTTCTTTTGCTAATTGGGATTTGGGTGAAAATTTACAGGGCAAAATGGTTTTCCATTCAACAGTTCTTACACATGCTGTTTTGTGATATTGACTGAAATCTCACCATGTAACAGCACTCTTCCCACTTCCTCCCTGTTTACCACTTCCCTTGTCCTTCTTTCCTATCCCTCCCTGCCTTCTGAGCATTACTCCTGGGAAAATGCTGCCCTTTTGATCTCATATGGTAGATTCTTCTAATGAGTGCATACCTCCCTGCTGCTGTTTTTTACCTTATAGGACTGTCTATCATTTGGCAGAAAATTGAGCCATGGAGGTGTGCTCAGTTCAGGCATGAAGTGTATCTAAGGACCATAGTCTCTGGGGTTGCCAGTTTCTGTCAGACCAGTAAGCCTGGACTTTTTATGATGTGCCTTTTGTTGCATTTTTTTCTTCCACTGTGTCCAGGACTACCTATTGTAATCCCTGTCAGAGCAGTCAGTATTGGTAGCCCAGCACTATCTAGTTCTGGTCTCCAGGTTGTGGAGGCTGGGGTTCGTGTCCTTTGGGTTATTTTTTCAATTCTTTTAGAGATTAAGAGGGTCTACGGTGAGGGTCCCAGGAGCTCTGACATTTGACTGCTAACCAGAAGGTTG